CATTAACTTTTAAGTGAAGTTACTTGACTATCACCAGTCTCAATTAAGGGCAAGTAGAGAACAATAAAAAAAGTCCCCAATGGGATATATGTATTATGTTCATGTGAATTAGAATGCTATGATAACGAGCACCATAAGGAACAAGAAGCCAGTGTCTTGATAATAGGTGAGGTGATAACTTCAAAGTTCTTTCTTCAAGAATCATACTACACTAGCAGGACCCGCGGAAATCCGCGGGATTCTAGAGGGGGGCGGGGGGTGTAAATAGATATATAGAGACTGTCTAAATTAAAACCACCAAGAACTTTATTTGCCATTTAGGCCATTAAAAAAATATACATGTTTAGCATCCCCGCCCGCTTCCTTTTTGGGGGCCACCCCCTATTTTTTTTTTTTTGAAATTTTTTTGATTTTTTTGATTTTTTTTTTTTTTTTTTTTTTTTGAAAGTAAAAAAAGACAGCGTTCCCGTCTGCTTCCTTTTTGGGGGCCGCCTCCTATTTTTTTTTTATTTATTTATTTTTTTAAATTTTTTTAAATTTTTTTTTGAAAGAAAAAAAAAATGAAAAGCACTGCTAAAATGTATTTCTGATTTTAAAAAAGAAAAAAAAAAATTGTCGGCCGCCATCTTGAAAAATAGCCTGGATGTCAGGGAAAATGTACGGAGCGGCCATTTTGAAAGAAAAAAAGGGCCTCCTCCTTCCCATTTTTCAAAAAAACAGGACGCTAAACCTGTTTTTTTTTTAAATTTGGCCTTATATAAAAAAAAAAAAAACGATCCAACTGTACCGGTAGTTATTCTTTAAGCCACTGGAACTGCGTAGAGTTCCGTATTTTGGGTACCGACTACGCAGAAATTCGGCTGCGTAGTAATGGGAAAAAAAAGTCCCTGCGTAGGTTATGCGTAGGCTGGCGTACAGGTTTGCTTATGGTTGCTTACTGTGTGGAAAGCTTTTACTGCTTAGTCGATCTGGCGTAGGGTAGCGTACTGTTGCGTAAAAAGGCGAACTTTTTGCGTCAAGTTTCTACGCCGAAAGTACGCGAAAAAAATTAAACATGTTGAATTGTTTTCGTTAACCTTGCGTACCCCTTTCCGTCCCTCAGCATATAGTAACGTAGGCCAGCGTAGTTGGTACGCAACACTACGTATTGACCCCACGCCAATTAGTGACCCCGAGTGTCACAAATAAGTATTAAAAATATGCTCATCTGACCTTAATTAAACGCCTAAAACCCCCGAGCTTTCGGGGGTTTATGGCCCCTTGAAACCCGTGGACCCCACGCCTATATTATATATACACTCAACTCGCTGCGATCTGATCTCTCCCCCCCCCCCCAACTTTGAAGAACGTAACCCCCGAGCTTTTGGGGGTTTATGGCCCTTTAAACCCGTGGACCCCACGCCTATATTATATATACACTCAACTCAGTACCCGCGGAAATCCGCGGGATTCTAGAGGGGGGCGCAGGCAAAAAATTAAGTTTTTCATGTCGGGGGCTCCATTTCAAATTTTGGGGAAATTTTTCGGGGGCTACTTTTTCAACTTTCGGGGGCTCTTTTTTCTGGGGCTACTTTTTCATTAATTCATAAAAAGATAGGCCTACACTTTGTTGAGATTTGTTTAGTAGGCCAAGGTTTCAGGCTTCCTACTTCATAATTGCCTATTTAAAAAAAAAAAAAATTCTAGTTCAATAACTAAGTTTTCATGCATTGATTTGATGCAAGAACTGTAACATAATACACCCTAGATTGTGATTATTTCTGACCATGAATTTCGATAATCATTTTTCAAAGTAAAATTTTCACAAGAAAATCAGACAGTCGTTTTAAAACATAGACATTAGTAATACTTTTACTAATTCTAAGCTCAGGTTTCGTAAATCTATTCACGAAACTATATTGAAATCGCGGCAATAATGATGCAAACCAACAGATAACAATTTCAAAGTGTCAAATCTCTTCGACTCAGCTCAGGTGAACTCACACACACTACAGCGTAACTCCAGAGCTCGAACACCGGCGCCGCAGGCGTCGGACGCCTACGGTGCGCGGTGCCGGTTAGGAGCTTCCTGCAAGCTCATTTCAACTCACACACCGCACACAGCAGCATTGCACTGTGTGTTGACTGAAGGCAGCTTGCGACTGAATTGTCAGTCCAATGGTTTACTTGTGAAAACTTTCCTTTAGAAAATGATAATCAAAATTTAGTTAGCATGGCCGTAATAATCACAAAATAAGCTTTTATTTCATACCTCCATTCACGAAAACTATATACAAATCGCGGCATTCATGACGGAAATGGGTCTCTAAGTTTGGACGTCGACGGGAAGCCCCGCGTATCCCCCTGGCTTGTGCAGCGCTACTACAAAGGATATCCTATAGAAAGATGCTTTACTCGGGTAATCCCGACCCTGTCCATCGTGCATTTAATACGCAACTTAATGTGAGTGGATGGTCATCGGTCGTGTGTCTACGGATGCAATGTTGAATATCCATGAGGTATCTCTGTCGTCACGCATATCCTGCATTATGCATGTCGCGTCTGTTTTCGCCCTGGACGTCGACACGGAGGAGGACCTCGGGCGGAGTATAGCCAATTCCACAGAGTAGACTCTCCCGTGGACGATGGCACCGGGCACGGGTACCCCGAGGGGAGGGTTCAGGAGGAGATAGCCGCACCAACTTGGGTCGGCGATCTCATTAAAAAACAATAGAATACAAAGGCTCGCCGAGACGTCGCGCCCCCCGCGGAGCCTTAGCGTATTACTTATATAGAAGCCAGGGAAGCCAGAATCATTGCTTTGTGTGAATATTTTGTTAAAATTACTTCCAATATATTGTACTTGTAACAATTTGTACAGGGCCTCTTCGAAAAAAAGTTCTAATACTGACAGAGCGACCCTGTTTAAAAAGTACAAAAAATTACAAAAAAATTATAATTTCAAATATCTCCTCTACATGTATCTATACACACATTAAGAGCACACCTGATTATTTTTGACACACATAAATGTACTTCTACTGTACTACACTGAAGCAAGCATAACAGATATTTTTGTTGTTGGAGTTTTTAGCATAATACTCAGTATCTGACTATCCACAAAATTAAAAAAGAAAAAAATATGATTTTTTTTTTTTTTTTTTTTTTTTAATGAAAAGAAGAGATATATTCATAGTATCCTTGTTTACATGATGTGAATGAGCATAAAATATGCAGGTTATTGAACTAACAGTGCTATTGGATTAAAAAACTGAGAAGTTATAAGATCATAAGGAAAGGGAAAAAATCATAAAGCGAGGATAAAGGCAATCTTGACAAAGGCAAAGTATTTAGCTCATAAACTCAGGCTTATTTCTATAGGAAGAGATTATAAGAGCACAACAAACCATCTGAAACAGTGTTTACTTTCAGGTGAGTTGTCCCATTTTGTTGTTTTTCAATAATTCTGTTTAACCATACAAATGATGTGAATTCACTTCCTTATATTTTCATTATCCTGCATTTTTTTTTTCTTCTTTTTTTCTAAAGCTGACAAAAAACATGGAAACAATCCAATTTACCAAAATCGTTTTAGTATACCAGTAAAGCTTTGTGCTATACATGTACAAAGAAGGCTCATTGTGGTAGAGTAAAAAGATTTATATTTCTAATCAGGAATGGTGTTTTGATTATAGATATGGGCCAAAGAAAAAACTTGTGACAAACAGGTAGCAGGCTTTATGCTTTCAAGAAATAGTATTTCATGAAGCTTAACCCCTTTTACAACATTTCATATACCCTTGAAGCATCCACAAGAGCTGAAATATTGGTCAATATCATACCAACTTTATGCATTCTCTATTTCATAGGACAAAGTTTTCATGTACATGTAGATTAATCAAACAATTAATCGGATATATATATATATATACCAAGAAGTACACAATTTAGTAACACAGATCTACAAGTCAACTTTCCTTATGCCTGAATTGCTGATAGACATCTATGTAATGCATGTTTACATGTAGGTAAAGGAAGCATCTTACAAAGTGAATTTTTCATTTTGTTTCTGGTGCCTCCAACCCTGGTCCAGATTATTCAAGGATTTTCTTATTTAAAAACCTAGCTAAAATCCAGCAGCTTTTCCTATTTATCTTGGAGGACATCTTCAAACAAAGAATTATGATTTTATAATCGGCTTTGACTACAAAGCCTGATCACAAAACGAAGCTTGATTGGTTACTTGAGTTTGTTAACATGAAAACACATTGCAGTTCTTTGGGCTATTGGTTGCTAACCATCTGTTATAGTCAACACAATACAATACAAAGCATGCAGGATGTAGTACAAGTATGATTAAAGTACAATCAGATGGGATGATAGTCTCGTTGGACGGACGCCACCAACGCCGAGGGGGGCGGGGCAGATTGTATCATGGGGGCGGGGCTAAGAGCCAAGCGATGGCGTGGAGAGGAAACATTCTTGCGATTAAAAAAAAGTGGGCCGTTGACCCAGTTTTTATTTCCTGGGTAAACAATGAAAGCTAAGAAACCTGGTTAATCTGTAATAATTTTGTTTTCATGCCCCAATTCTTGTTTCATAAAAAAAAATCGGCACAGAATATGATGTCATATCCATTTCTTGCTTCTGATTTGTTAACCGATCTTAGTTGTTACAATATCAGGCTAGTTTCTCTATTATAATACAAGATAGGTTATCTGACATATTCTAATAGCAAGTTCTACATCATTGGGATACAATACAGATCAATCTCAAGAGCACTACCAGAAAAATAAATAGGAATGAAATTGCACAATTAACACGAGACAAAAACGGTTGAAAAGTCCTCGCACAATTTGTTTTCATTAAAGCTGGAATACAAAAACGGGTGCATTGAATAGAATTCCACTCTTCATATTCATCAACAATTGCACAAAGATATAAGCAAAATGGATGTGGATAAGCAAATATCTTTGGTGTAATAACTCACTGCCACTTTAAAGGTATGCAATCTTATTTACCTTGCAGCCTTCGCATGAATGTACTCCATAGTGAAAGCCTGATGCCTTGTCTCCGCATACCTGACATAGGATGTTCATGTCTTTATCAAAATCTAGAAAAGAAAAGAAGAAAAAAAGATGGTTAACAAAAAGACAGGAAATAAATGATCTAAAAAGATAGACCTCAACCCACTGCCAATGGGAACAGAACAGAACTCAAACTTTCTTTTGTGGTTATTATAACCCCTATAGTCTACATATTGATATTTTTTGTCACAAAAGTTCATTTTACTGGTCATTGGTGAGTTAATATGCTATTTATATATCATATTATAGTATATTATCTTCTTTGTTTTATATAGGAATTAATCTGTAGAAATCTAAAAGCATGAAACTGTGTTTATTTTAGCAATATTGTCAAGCACATAGACAGATTTACCTGTCTGTTTTGTACTTTAAAAGTTAATCTTTTTATTGATATTTATGGGAACCATGCATCCCTGCATTAAGTAGATGAGAATAAGTGAAGTCAGTTACCATCGGGCTAATGTTGTCTCTTTAACTTCATACAAGATGTACAGTTTCTCTCAATATTTATCTTTACAAAATTTATGAGCAATAAATATCTTTATGCATGATTAAAATAAAAACTATTTTTAAAAAAATACTACACAAGAGACCAGTCATAAAATTCTCAGTGTAAAATAATGTTAAAAGTAGAATCCAACATGACAGCTTAAGATACATTAAACATAGTTTACGTTGGGTAATATTTATTGGATATTCACGACAAGCACTCTTCATAATTCACTGCTCAATCAATTGCTACTTTCTGTAACTCTAAGGTTGAACAGCCCTTTTCATGGAAATAGAAATGACAATGACATCGTGAGAACCCCTAAAACTGGCTAGCCTTCTCCAAATCATGTCTCCATTTTTGAGTAGCGCTTATTAAATCACTCCTTATCTTCATTCACCAGGCAACCATATGAGCAATCAGAAATCACTCAATCATGTTAAATGGAATGTTCTAATTTCACGTATTTTCCCCTTCCCAGATTGCAATTCTGCCCTTTCGTGCAGCAAATCTACCTTATTTAGGTCTGGCCTACTTTTACCCATTTTGTGGTCTGCACGTAATTTTCCTAATTTAATTTTAGTGGCGTTTCTCCTTTTGTTTTCTTTGGCAGATCGAGAGAGGAAAGTCATTGTGCACCTGAGGCAGGGGCAATCTATGAATTGCAACAAAGTTGGAATCAAACTACACCACTATTACATCCCCTTCTTTCAAAAACAAAACAGGGGAAAGAATGGAAGAAATAGAGCGAGACAAACACACACTAATTGAATGCGTTGGATAACATGTCCATGAAATCAAATGGTGCTCTAATTTTCTTTTATTATAATTCCAATCAGGGCAATCTGTGTTTAAAAGACAGTTACAGGAAATGAGTAATAAAGGAATGGATTTTGAAAGGAGAACATAAACTTGACATGTATAACATAGAATACATTAATTTCCTCCAGTGTCCACTTCTTTATATTATTTTTTCATCAATTTTTCATATCAATATAAAGCCAAATATATCCAATTACTTGTATTACAAAAGATGGGGGGGGGTAGATCAAGATACACATAAAACTACAACGAGGCCAAACAAAAGAGAGAGAGAGAGACAGAAAGACAGAGAGAGAGAGAGAAAAGAAAAAAAAAGATACTGTATATTCACAGTTATAAACAGTACCAGAGAGACAGAGAGAAAGGGAGACACTATGATATACAATTAAACAAGATGAAACAGAGAAGCAGATATGAGGAGAGGTCTGTCGGGAGGGGGAGGGGTCAATAGAAACAAAGAGAAATACAGAGAAACCACATGAAAGAGAGAGACAGACAGAAAGACAGCCACACACAGGCAGATACAGAGAAAAACAAAAATATATTCATACATGCACAATGGAAAACAGAAACCGAAAAATACAGAACATATAAGAAAACTGAGGGAGAGAAAGAGAGAAAAGAAGATCAAGATGAAGAACAACAAAAATAAGAAGAGAGACAGATGGCAGAGAGAACGAGAGCAGGGAAAGACAAAATACAAATACAAAAAAATACTAGAGAGTGATGACAGATCAAAATATTGCTAATTACATTAAAGGGAAAGGTAAGATTCCAGAGGAGATAACCAGAAATAGACAAGACCCCTCTCTTTTCAAGGAGCTGTATTTAAGATGAAGGAAATCAAGAACCTAAGATATTCATTTCAAGAAAATAGGTCAGCTTAAACCACAGCTAGACGACCACACACACACACATCCTATTCCCCTTCCATCTACCTAACCTATATAAGTAGATGGGTTGAATACATATCTCTATGAGTATCATCTCTGTTCAGACGTCTTCAAATATTTCATGTTGTAAATGCTAACTTCAATCACCCTACTTATATTCTGCACTACCTCAGTACAAAATGTGTAAACATATGTTTGTCTGCCTCTCACCTTGGGAGACCTGTCTTTTGCACATGATTATTTAATTTAGTCTGTATCTAATTCCACATGGCTATCTATCCGTCTGCACTTATGGAAATGCGTGAAAATTCTCTAATCATGGGAGGGAGCTCCTTCCATAAGATCCGTCCTTAAAGGCACATACATGTATACAATGTCAATGTCAAATGGTAATTTAATCAATTAAATAAGGAAAAGTAATACTTTTTGTATAATATAATTCAGTTAATAAAGAGGGGAGTCTTTAAGTTCTTCTTGAAAGGGTCAATCAAAGTGGAAGTCCAGACTGTAAAGACAGGAGAGGGATCCATATTGTGGGGCCGTAATGACGGAAACTACACCCCCAATTAGGAGTGGTAATCAGTCCATTCGGAGGAGTGTAGGATCATGTGAAAAGTGGAGTTGATAATGTGATCAGGAATAGTGTGTTTAAACCATGGACCTATTAGATTCACGGTTTAAACACAGCTATTGAGACATTTATAGACTACTAGTGAAACTTTATATAATTATGATACATGGATATGCCTTTTCACAGGCAACCATGTGTAATTCCCTGCGCACGGGAGATGCAGATTCTTGCCTCCCACTGCCCATAGTAAAACCAGGGATGAGACAGAGAAATTCCCAAAAATGAGGAAGATTAACAGGGGGTCCGGGGGCAACACCCCTAGTGCAGAAAACTTTAGAATATACAGTGTTTACATAAAAGAACACGTTTTCCTTGCATTTGAATTCTAAATTTAAGAAATATCTGTTACCCCAATCCGCCCCCACCCCCCCCCCCCTCCATCTTGCTTAAAGGGACTCTATCACATTGTTCAGATGATATTGATTTTTTTTTTTTTTGGATTTTTTTTTTAAATCTCGAAATAGGCGGAAATCCGCCAATCAGCGAAGGAATCTCATCCCTGTAAATCTAAAGATTAATTTTTCTTGGGGGGGGGGGGGAGATTTTTCTGACTACATACATGAAATATTTTATGATACACTTCAGTGGCAATTGTTCAACAGTCAGTTTCTTACACTAGCCAAATATCTATCACTAATCCTGGAGCTAAGACCATGCAGGCACATGACCCAATATAACTCTAACACTTTAAGAAGGAAAACCTGTAGAAAATGTCACCAGAGCAAAAGTCATGTGCCCTTAGAAGGGAGCCGAGATGAAATAATGTTTGTAAGCTTTCCGCTCACATGGAGGGCTTAATTGTATTCCATTCCTACCATCTTCAACTTTAAGAGGTAGAGAAATGTAGGATAAGAGATATCAAGAGAGAAGTAGAGCAGGCGAGGATCTTCACTACACTCTCATTACACCAATAAGAGCTCTACTCTCAAGTAATACAACTCTCACTTTACTCTTCTCTATACAGCTAGAGCATGCCACGTGAACCTCATCAACTATCACAAAATTGTCAGGATTTACGCAACAATACTTATTTCATGCTTTATTTGAGATTTTATTCTTACACAGAAGAAGAAATTTTATTTGAAGATGATATTCATTGCTTTCATTGAATCTCATAAAAATGGTATTGTCCATATCCATGTACAGTGTATCCATATTCATAATATCGTCTAGATGAAATAGATAAGATGAGAACACGTTACTAATGAAGAGGAAGAATTATGCAAATCAAATGAGAGCAGTCTACATCATGTTTGCTTTCTTAGTATGGTATTACATGGAATATTAATTTAGGTTATCAGGTAATGAAAAAGGCAATTTGCAGCAGCGATCTGATTTCAATCAAGTTTTTGTTTTTGATGCATGCTAAGTGGTTCAATCATCGATGGCGCACGCATTGAGAAAGCGATCCCTTCAAATAGGTTGCATCCACACTCGCATTTATCACGAAGATGTTGATTGCATAGAGAAGACACATGTGATATGGATACCAGTGAGATTGAGACCACCTTACAATGTAGAAGCAACCCTCTTTTGTTTACTCTCTCTCCTCCTTGTAGGCAGCAGCAGCCGAGGAGACATGCTTTCGTGTTCTGTTCTTGTCTCAGAGATATGTGGGTCGCGGAGTGGCGTATTTGGGTCGGGGCGCTTGCCTGTCTGTATTATTAACTGGGTCGCATTTTTCCATGACCCACTTTCGATTCATCCTGGTGAAATCAGGCTTGAGACGGTGTGAGAGCCGCTTGTTAACCTCTTTCCAGCCGGGGCCCCGCCCGCCGCTCGCCAATTTCAGGCTTCGCTCTTATTTTCATTACCGTTGCCAAATTGAACTGGGTCTTGTATGTTTTTCAACAGCAATCGCATTCTTGGCTGACTTGCGCAGTATGAGCAACATCTTTCCTTCTCTTACCATTCGGCATTTCTCTTTGTTTGCAAATCTTATTCTAGAATCTGGAACATTGATAAAAGGCTCTTGTTTTGGCAGACCTTCTTTTTTCTGCATCTTCTGTTGGAATCCATCAGACCCTCCCTCCCTCTCTCCTCTCATCCCATGAAGAACCCTCAACACAAGGAGCATTCCATTCCAAGCTCCTTGTCTCATTTCATTGATTTTGTTGCCCTCTTTACCAGAATGTTGACGAAAAAGATACTGAAATTGTTTTCAAGGGATAGAAGGGGAACTGTTAAATG